TTCCTGGATACTTGATAGGTGAAGATACAATTTTTTTTTAATTTTGTTTTTTTAATCATACAAAAAAGATATTTATGAAACATATCAAAACTAGTTTTTTTAATTAATGATTTAAGCTTGCCTACATAAAATAACTTTTTCCATTTTGTTGCTAAAAAACCTGATCGTAAACAAAAATGAGCATATATCTGTAACCCAAGGTTGTACATGTGGAATATTTCTAACTTTACCACTTTGAATACTGATCTTTTGCTGCCCATCCCTCATCCCCAACCCCCCTTCCCCACGGTTAATATTTCCATAATTCTTTCCATAATACTTTTGGTCTGTGATTCTAAAAATTCTTTTACACTTTTCACCTGTATTGCTCTTTATAGCATATTAGCAAACTTATGGGTCTCAAATCAAAATGGAGAAATAGACCACATAATAAAGTACCATGTGAGCAAAATTCCTTTGTTTTATGATCTAATTAAATTAAAGATTAGTTGTTTTTTTTTAAAAAAATCTGGAATATCCAGAGAGCTTTACAAACAATATTTTTGTTGAATTAATCTTCTCTTGTATTTTAAGGCACATAGTTAATAATCTTTTAAACCATTAGGAATTCATTATTAGTATAAATATTCTAATTCTATATGCTAGATATTTAGAAAATAATTGTTGTTGTTAATTGCGAAGTCGTGTCCGACCTATCGCGACCCCATGGACAACGTTCCTCCAGGTCTCCCTGTCCTCTACCATCTTCTGGAGTCCATTTAAGTTCACGCCTACTGCTTCAGTGACTCCATCCAGCCACCTCATTCTCTATCGTCCCTTTTTCTATTGCCCTCAATCTTTCCCAGCTTTAGGCTCTTCTCCAGTGAGGCCTTCCTTCTCATTAGGTGGCCAAAGTATTTGAGTTTCAACTTCAGGATCTGGCCTTCTAAAGAGCAGTTGGGGTTGATCTCTTCTAGGACTGACCAGTTTGAACGCCTTGCAGTCCAAGGGACTAGCAGGAGTCTTCTCCAGTGCCATAGTTCAAAGGCCTCAATTCTTTGTCGCTCAGCCTTTCTTATGGTCCAACTTTCACATCCATACATTGCAACTGGGAAAACCATGGCCTTGACTATACGTATTTTTGTTACCAGGGTGATTTTTCTGCTTTTTAGTATGCTGTCTAGATTTGCCATAGCTTTCCTCCCCAGGAGCAAGCGTCTTTTAATTTCTTGGCTGCAGTCCCCATCTGAGGTGATCTTGGAGCCCAGGAAAATAAAATCTGTCACTACCTCCATTTCTTCCCCATCTATTTGCCAGGAATTGAGAGGGCCAGATGCCATGATTTTGGTTTTCTTAATGTTGAGTTTCAAGCCAACTTTTGCACCCTCCTTCTTAACCTTCATCAAGAGGCTCTTTAGTTCCTCTTCACTTTCTGCCATTAGTGTGGTATCATCTGCATATGTTAGGTTGTTGATATTTCTCCCGACAATCTTAATTCCAACTTTTGATTTATCTAGCCCTGCCTTTCTCATGATATGCTCTGCATATAAGTTAAATAGGCAGGGTGGCAGTATACACCTTGACGGATTCCTTTCCCAATTTTGAACCAATCAGTGCTTCCGTGACCAGTTCTCACTGTTGCTTCTTGACCCGCATATAGGTTTCTCAAGAGACAAGTAAGATGGTCTGGTACTCCCATCTCTTTAAGAACTTGTCACAATTTGTTGTAATCCACACAATCAAAGGCTTTAGCATAGTCAGTGAAGCAGAAGTAGATGTTTTTCTGGAACTCCCTCGCTTTCTCCATGATCCAGCAGAGGTTGGCAATTTGATCTCTAGTTTTTCTACCTCTTCGAAATCCTGCCTGTACTTCTGGTAGTTCTCGATCCACATACTGCTGGAGTCTAGCTTGTAGGATTTTAAGTATAACTTTACTAGTATGTGAAATGAGTGCAATGGTGCGATAGTTTGAACATTCTTTGGCATTGCCTTTCTTTGGAATTGGAATGTAAACTGACCTTTTCCAATCCTGTGGCCACTGTTGAGTTTTCCAAATTTGCTGGCAAATTGAGTGTAGCACTTTTACTGCATCATCTTTAAGATTTTGAATAGCTCAGCTGGAATACTGTCACCTCACTAGTTTTCTTGTTGCTCAGATTTCCTAAGGCCCATTTCACTTCACATTCTAGGATGTCTGGCTCGAGGTCAGTGACCACCCCATTGTGGTTATCTGGGAGGTTAAACTCATTCTTATATAGTTCTTTTGTGTAATTTTGCCACCTCTTCTTAATCTCTTCTGCTTCTGTTAGGTCCCTGCCATTTTGGTCCTTTATCATGCCCATCTTTGCATGAAATGTTCCCTTCATATCTCCAATTTTCTTGAAGAGATCTCTGGTCCTCCCTATTCTGTTGTTTTCTTCTATTTTTTGCACTGTTCATTTAAGAAGGTATTCTTATCTCTTCCAGCTATACTCTGAAATTCTGCATTCAATTGGGTGTATTTTTCTCTTTCTCCTTTGTCTTTCGCTTCCCTTCTTTCCTCAGCTATTTGCAAAGCTTCCTCAGACAGCCATTTTGCTTTCTTGCATTTCTTTTTCTTTGGGATGGTTTTAGTTGCTTCCTCTTCTACAATGTTGCGAACCTCCGTCCATAGTTCTTCAGGCACTCTGTCTATCAGATCTAATTCCTTAAATCTATTTGTCACCTCTACTGTATATTCATCAGGAATATGATTTAGTTCATACCTGAATGGCCTAGTGCTTTTTCCTACTTTCTTCAATGTAAGCCTAAATTTTGTAACAAGAAGCTCATGATCTGAGCCACAGTCATCTCCTGGTCTTGTTTTTACTGACTGTATAGAGCTTCTCCATCTTTGACTGCAGAGGACATAGTCAATCTGATTTCTGTGTTGACCGTCTGATGATGTCCATGTATAGAGCCGTCTCTTGGGTTGTTGGAAAAGAGAGTTTGTTATGACCATCGTATTGTCTTGAGAAAATTCTATCAGCCTGTGCCCTGCTTCATTTTGTACTCCAAGGCCAAACTTGCCTGTTATTCCGGTTATCTTTTGGCTTCCTACTTTTGCATTCCAATCCCCCATGATGATAAGGACATCATTTTTTGGTGTTAATTCTATAAGGTGCTGTAAGCTTCATATAACCGATCAATTTCCTCCTCTTCAGCACCAGTGGTTGGGGCATAGATTTGGACTACTGTGATATTGAATGGTTTCCCTTGGATTTGAGCTGAGATCATTCTGTCATTTTGGGGATTGTATCCCAGTATTGCTTCCTATTCTTTTATTGACTATGAAGGCTATTCCATTTCTTCTGAGGGATTCTTGCCCACAGTAGTATACCTGATGGTCATCTGAGTTAAATTCACCCATTCCTGTCCATTTTAGTTCACTGATTCCTGATGTTGATGTTCAGTCTTGTCATCTCTTGTTTGACTACATCTAGCTTGCCTTGATTCATGGATCTTACATTCCAGGTTCCTATGGAGAAAAGATCTTTACAGCATCGGACTTTCCTTTCATCACCAGATATATCCACAGCGGAGCGTCCTTTCGGCTTTGGCCCAGTCGCTTCGTTCTTCCTGGCGCTACTAGTGCTAGCCCTCTGCTCTTCCACAGTAGCATATTGGACACCTTCCGACCTGAGGGGCTCATCTTCCAGCGTCATATCTTTTTGCCTTTTAGACTGTCCATGGGGTTTTCATGGCAAAGATATTGGAGTGGTTTGCAATTTCCTTCTCCAGTGGATCACATTTTGTCAGAACTCTCTGCTATGACCTGTCCGTCTTGGGTGGCCTTGCATGGCGTAGCTCATAACTTCGTTGAGTTATGCAAGCCCCTTTGCGATGACAAGGCAGTAATCCATAAAGGGGAGGAAATAATTAAATTGGTTTATATTTTACCGTAGAAATAAATAATAATAGTGTTGGTCTTATATATATGCTCAAGACATCCTTGTTTTTTTTTCCTAATTTTTCTTAATTTTTCACATGAAGCATAAGTAATAATACAGCTATATGAGTATCTTTTGAAGGAATCCCAAATAGCTAATACATTTGCAAGTCTATAATAGAATGTTCCTCAAATTTTTATTGCTCTTGTATAATTAAAACAAGTAATTTCTTATTTATCAAGTCTTCTCTTTATTTACTGGCAATAGTTTTAACAATAGTCTTCCTGTGTGGCTACATATATATTATGCATTTTGTGGCTTGATTTTGGGTTTAGTTGTGGTATAAAGAAAGTGAACAAGAATTAAACAATTCATAATTAAGGTTGACAAGCAATTCCCTAATGCCCTGTTGCCCTGCAGAATGTGGAGTTGGCCAAAGTGCTGGATAAGATTGCTTCTGCAAGATCTTTGCACAGTTTTCAACTTTAAGGATTTCCTTGATTACAAAGAACTCAAGAAAATTAAAAGACTGAAAAAGATGCCTATAGCAATAGTGGTAAAAACAATCACAATGCGACTGAACACTAATGTGAGTTTATGTTGAAATCTACACAGCGGTGATAAAGCTGGTGAAACAGCAATTCTTCTTTGCATTTACAGCTATTTCTAGGGAAAGATAAGATGAAACAGTTCCAGGCATGCAGCATAAACACGTTGGCTACTTTGCAACTAAAAACATTTGTGATGTGATCTATGTTACTTTCTACTTGTAAAACTTGAGAAAGTCAATAGGGTCCCCTATAGTCCTAACATGTGCATTGGATCCATGCCCCTCACATTGTCAAGCAGCTAAATGGGGCAAAAATGATTAGATCTGAGAGATTATTGATGCTTCCTTTAGGAATAGTGGTGCTGCATATTTTAGAAAAGCCACTTGCAAGTATTATAAATAAAAAAAAAAGTTCATGTAATTTTTCCAGAGGGTTAACTGAATCAATAAGAATTGGGTAAAACATCAGTAGCATAACAAAAAACTTTCCTACAGTAATATATTTCTGTTCCTTATGTTCAGAACATTCAATAATATAATTATTCTGCTTTAACTTTTCACAGTCGGACAGCAATGCAAGCTTCCTTCGAGCTGCCAGAGCTGGCAATCTGGACAAAGTAGTGGAATATCTAAAAGGAGGAATAGACATCAATACAAGCAATCAGGTAAGTAAGTAGCCACACGTGGGCTTATGTTTTATAAACTCCAGATTGTACTGTAATATTAAAGAATAAATGGGAACCTCCTCCTCCAGTATTTTTTAATTGCTAAAGAAGACAACCAAAGGACTGCATAATGATAAATAAAAAACAGACTTCAACTTTCATAGGAAGTTACAGTATACCTATCATACATTTAATGGTCTCTGTATATGTTTCAATAAAGTAGTATCACAGTAATTGATCAACAATTGTTGATTGCAGTAGTTGGGAGAGCCTATTGACAAATGGACTAACTATGGGGTTAACAGTGATCAAATGACATCTTAGTATATACTTGTTCTCCTCTAATTATATGCTGGCATACTAAATGAATGGACTCCATCTTTATTTCTTTCCTATGCTAGTTTGATATCCTGTTTTTTAAAGAATGTTTTATCTCAAAATGGAGATACACAGAAATTGTATGAAGATGTTTATGACATTAAAGGAAATGTAATCCATGCTCCCAACTTTGGAAGATATAAACCAGCCAGTTGTACAAATAAGCACATGTGATAAAGGCATTTAAATTCAACTTATCTATGTGGTAAATTATTTACCATATCTCATGAAACTGTTAAACTTATTCTCTGTTATCTTATTACTATACAGTTGTTAGACATACCGTAAATATTTAAAAGAAAAGCAAAGAACAAATGGGCATATATTCTACAAATCAGTAATATGAAGTCAGAATAGAAATATTTTGGGGCAGCAATATTTTATTAATTAGTTCATAGTTGTTAAGTGAGATAGCACAGTATATAATCTTTGGCTTTCTACTACTCAAATCTTCTCCCAGATCTTCCTCCACAATGGACCTGGTGTTTAGTTATCCCACATGTGGAAATGTGTGATTTCTTTACTATTTTTATGGAATATCAGGTAGTAAGTATTCTGTTAGGAAAGCTTGAAGTATGCTAGATAGAATAAATTTGAGAAGCTGATGTTCCTCTCTGGCAATCAGAATAGTTACACAGGTTTTTCATTATAAAGCATGATGTATGTGACATTAATAAAACAGCAGCATTTTAGAAGCATGTTCCACTTTTCTCATAAAGTTTGTATGTGTGCTTTGAAATATTTTTTAAAGAGGAGAATATAAATAAGGAATTAGATTATTTTAAACTTTCATTCTCTTCTTCAGGCTGTGGAGAAATCCACCTAAACAGGATTTTGATTCATGTGAATAAGGGGCAGGTTTGTTGATGTATAGATATGTGTGGAAGCCTCAGTTTTTCAATAGACAATAAAATCCTTAACTGTGAATCATACTCCTAAGAAAGCTCTAACTTGTAGTTAGATATACTCACCATATATGAAGGCTGCTAGTTTATTGCTAATTATTGCTAACTCAGTGGGTTAAAATCAGAATTTGGTTCCATCAATAGAATAACCTCCTGAGTAGAGTTCTGCTCAGATTACTTCTTCAGTGGAAGGATCTTTTTCTTCTTCTGCTGACCCTCTAGTTCTGACCCTATTGTTGCTAATGGAATAACTGTACAGGAGAACAAGGAGAATATTTTGACCAGTTAAATATCTACCAGCTCAGAAAACATCTACTGAATGTGTTCTTCCATTTGGAAGAGTATCTAAAGCCAAAAGATATATGCTACAATGGAAGGGCACTTTGAGATTTATTGAGAGCACAATAATGAAACAGACAAGTTATTTTTGACATGGTTTTTCCTTTAATTGTCCTAAATTACATAATCTCTTTCCTTTTGGATAAATATGGCAAGTGTTTGTCATAAAAATTACATTTTAAAAACAGCGAGGAAAATTAAATGCTTAAATGCACTGTTATTTCTCTCTCTCCTTTCCTCTCTATGTCCCTGTATGTCATTAAAAGATAAAGAATGTTAGTAATATTACATAACCATTAAAATGTCAATAAAAGCAGATGATCTGATAATTTTATAAACAAAGAAGTTTATAATTTTCTGAATTTAAATTGTTATTAGCTACCATAGATGAATTGTAACCCTTCCAAATCCCCTTAGATACAGAAGAAATAAACAATTTTATTTACACATATTACTCTGATAGTAGTGGAACATGGTAAAATAAATGCTACTTAGTCATGTTTAATTTAATTCCTGTCCCATTTTTATATGACCTCTTTTAATTATAAATCTGGTTCTTGCTTGCATAAAGAAATGCAGAACTGATGTTTTTAACAGACAATTTTAGTGATAGACAAAACTACTATTTAACTAAGGCCTGCTTTTCTATTTTCCTTTCATAAATATCTCTTTCCTGTAGGTTTACAGCAGTATTTTCTTAAAATTAAATAGAATACTTTAGTGTAAAGTTAAAAAAACACTGAATCTTCTGTTTTCTGATCCCTAGAAAAACCTCTGGATAATGAAAAATCAACATGAGTTTTTCCATCAGTGTCTTTTCTTTTTTCCTACTTTGATCCATTTAAGCAGTTAAGCAGTATTTGGTTTCTAGCCAGTCTCTCTTCTAAATAGATTTGATTGTGCTCAACTGACCTTTTGCAAATTCCACTGATTATTACAACCAAAACATATATTTCATATTGTGTTAATTTACTTAATGCACCATACCTTTTCCTATATGTATAACTTTCACATACATGTCTCAACATAATGAGTATCTTTTTTTGTATCTTGTCAATATGTTTGATGCATGGTGCTCTGTGTCATATTAAATACTAATAAATGCATTAGAAAGCTTGTGATCTATATAGCAAATCTAAACAGAGTTCTAAAATGAAAGGAGAAGATGTGATTCTGAAAAACCCAGAAAATAATTTTATTTCAAAGGGACTTTCTCCTTTGGTAGATGGTGGGCAATCAATGAGTTAATTTCTATGTTTACATGGATGCTATCTATATTTATATTGTTTTTATGGTTGAATTCTTCAGAATCTTGTAAAATTGTAAAAGATAGAAAAATAATAAATTAAACAAACATACCTAAATTATTGATATTATTTGACTGTTTTCTTTATTGCATTGGACAGTACCTGCTCCATGCTGATTTTATAGTTTTCCTACCCTGGGAATTATTGTTGTCATCTTGCTAGCTCTGTGACTTACACTGAAGTTGAGAAACAGTATGCATAATATGACATTTTCCAAAATGTCAATTTAACCTCCATATTAATAATATAATTTATTTGTACACAGAATGGACTTAATGCCTTACACTTGGCTGCCAAAGAAGGCCATGTGGGTTTGGTTCAGGAATTGCTGGAAAGAGGATCTGCAGTTGATTCTGCAACGAAGGTAATTATTCATTGTCCAGGTGCTTAGAAGAATATCATTAACACAAAAGAGTGAATGGTAAAATGTATTGGTAAATGTTTTAATTATTTAAAGTTTATTTAGGCAATATTTCTAAACTATGGCTTTTGTATATTTCCCATATAATTTCTACAGTAGTGGCCAAAACTGTGGAAACCTTTTGGAAAAAGTGTACAGTAGAAATGCCACTTTTGGTTAAGTTTCCATCAATTTTTCTTCTTACTTCTTTATAACTGTAGCCTTGTTCACTTAATAATACTATTTTACATCTCTTTCTGGGCAACCAGTCAACTTTTTGCACCATTACTTTAATTTTATTACATTTTACAAGCTCACTAAATGAAAGAACACAAAAAAAACCCAATCAACTTGATAGCGATCACATAACACACTGACAAGTGTCCTCCTCTCAGCTTCAGTACATGACATCAATAACTGAATCCTACTGTGATCTGATTGACTCATTGCCAAAACAATGAGCCAATTGTTGACACCTGATTGGCTGTCTAAAAACTTATGATCATTGGCTGCAATCAGATGAATGAAAGCTACCTGATATCAACCTAACAAGTTGTGCTTCATTTTTATGATTATTTGGCTATAACTTTTCATAGAATACAGTATAGATAATTGAACAATCTTTGTTCCATTACATTCTTGATTAAATTATCTTTCCATTGATATATAATTTTATGGTACTACTCCAAAAAAGTGGTGTTATTAGCCATCAAACTTCAAAAATACACTTTTCCCAAAAGGTTTCCATAATTTTGGCCACTACTGTACATGTTGCTTTTTCCTCCTAATCCTGAATGAAATGTCATCTGCACATGAGTCACAATTTTAGTTCTGTAAAACTTTGCAAGACTTATTGCAAATAATGTTTGTTTTGGATTTGCTAAAATCAGGATTTAATATTTAACTAAAATAGGCAGGACAAAGTATAAACTTATTTGTTTCCACAATCCCTGCTCCTTCTTATGCACAGCTGGTAGAATTTTTAATTTCTATTATTTTTGAAAGAAACCAAGAACTGGTCAAAATGAACTCTATTCAATTGCTAAATAAACCAACAGCAAATTTTGAATTAGTTTCATAATTTCTTTCATTATGGATTAGAACCATCATTTTCTTTCAACAGACATGCTAGGTTGCTCAATTCTTCTGATTTATTAGGAATTGGTATGCATAACTACATTTCAATGTTCATGTTGCTGACAGAATTTCATAATTAGAAATTTTCTTATTTAAGAAAATTATTTCCAAATTGTGGTGCTTGCTAATAAAAATGCCTATCAACAGTACTGATTTTATTTTTTAAAAAAAGAATAAATATATTACTTTTCTAGAAATGTGTCTAGATAATCTTAATTTAAATCAGATTATAAGGGAAATGGAAGATATTGAACATTTTATAATAGAGAAATGTCAATATTTAATTCATATTTTATTAATATTACAGAGATTGTACTTATGTTGCTCTGAATTATAGGTACAATTTAAATTAATGTGTGCATTTTTATTCCGTGCAAAGCAGAAGGGAAATACTGCGCTACATATTGCTTCCCTGGCAGGACAGGCTGAAGTGGTCAAAGTTCTAGTTAAAGAAGGAGCTAATATTAATGCACAGTCTCAGGTAAGTTGACATATATGTGCAACTTTCTGTTGCACTTTAAATAAAAATGGTCTCAAGGTTAATTGGTGACATATACAGTGAAGTACACACTTTATTCAGTATCATGATTGATGTTAACAATTTCCAGCAGATGCAGCTGAATTAACTATTTTATAAATGATACATATTGTCATCAATAATATCAAATAATCATTGTCCAGATTATTTAAGCCATCCTTTATGATCTGGTATTCACACATCCTTCTGCAAAAGCAGTCACCATTTTGCAACATACCAAGCATAACATAGCCAATTTTTTTTCCTAAATTTTAGATGTAGCTTAAAAATAATTTAGTAGCACAATAACATCTTTAAACATTCCTAAAAATGTTAGAAATTAGTTCATACACAGCCATATGTCTAATGAACAAGGAACTACCAATAGAAGTGATCAAAGAATATGCTTCTAATTTATTGCCTTTCTATCCTAGGAAGGACTAGTCCATGCTTAATCACTATAATCTTTGCAAATGTAAAAAACAAACTTAAAATACAGCATTGTTATGTTTTTATTTTCTCTAAAAGTCTAAAGTTTAACTATAATAATAAGCAGTGATTATCCACAAGCCCTAACTACAAGGTAGCATCTGGGATAATGCTTTCCTACTCACCCACCCCTTATATTCAGGAAATGCCTTGGTATCTGAGACAATAATCTTTGATCTATTTTTGTAATTGCTGACTCACACCAGCAAAACAGAAGAGGCCGCCTGTTCTGGAGGGAGGGAAAGAACAGAAAGGAGCTGACAAATCTTTAAATAAGGTGGCATCTACAATCAGATGAAAATTCTTAATCTGTGCACTGAAGTTCATCATACAAAAGGCCCTTAAGGTATATAAGGTATAAAGCATGTATTTCCTTCAAAATATATGAAGGCATTTTTACATGCATCAGTATTTTTACAGCTTTAATGTGCAATGATCATGTTCCCATGTCAAAGTAATCTCAAGTAATCTCACATGGTTGGCATTTACTTGGGAAATTGGCAAACTCATTTGCATGCAGTACATTTATAAACAAACATATGTACACACTAATTTCATGCCTGCAAAATATTAGTATGGATAGTCTAAAACAGGTGTCTCCAACTCTTGGGCTGCAGCCCACTACTGGGCCACAGCCTGTTTGGAACTGGGCCGCACAAGTGGCAGAAAAGTGTGACCTTGTGCGCAGCTCCACTTACATGAGCTGGGGCACTCAGGCGTGAAGCTCCATTTGTGCAAGTGACAGGCAGTGGCACATGAAACTCCAAAACTCTGCCACTCACATGGAACCATTCCCTCCCCCCCCCCCGGTCCACCAAGACAGAAAGATTGGGCACCCTGGTCTAAAGAACATCAAACTCTAAGGACTGAGCCCTCCCCTCTTGTCTTATGGTTAATAAGCTGTTTCAAAATGTTGGAATAGCTGGAAAGTTAATCAAGGAATGTTCATTTTTAAAAGCTGAATCAGAGTTCTTACAACAAAAAACTGCAATCACTTTATGATTAGATTCTGCTTAGCCTACTTAGAGGTGGGCTAAACATTGCACCCAATGTTTATAGATGGCTTCTTTTGTATCATCCTTGGAATTTTATCCAAAATTCACTAGTGCAATTTGCCAAATATTATCTGAGCTTGCTCTTAAATTAAAATTAAGTAGCTTGGGGACTATAACATTGTGGCAGTAACTATAACTGATACTCTTCATACAAGGGCAGCTTTTGGCCCTCAAAATGTTGACCATAGTGCCAGTTTGGTGTAATGGTTAAAGCGACATAAAAGAAAGCAGAAACCATGAGTTCTCGTTTTGTCTTAGGCATGAAGCTTAAGGCCCTGGGCTAGTCACTCTCGTCCCTAGGAAGGAAATGGTGGCTAAGCACTTCCAAACAAACCTTCCCAACAAACATTCAGGGATTCTCCAGGCAGTCACCAGGAGTCAACACTGACTTAAAGGTTCAAAAACAAATGAACAAAACTTCACATTAGGTAGAATCTATCTGAACAGTTGAACATTTGTAAGATATACTTACATAAAATCTGATAGCTAGATTTTGGTCAAGCATTATATTAAGCAATTCCCAGTGCTATTTGGTTGCTAAATCCCTAAATCATTCATTGCTGGAATTACTTGAATGGCGTTTTCCATATTTGTGAAATGCTGTTTATTGTTCGTCATGTTCTACCATTGATGGAAACTAGCTTAGCAGGTATTCAAGACTGGGATCTCTCATCTTAGAAACTTTGTTACTGTTGTAAATTAGACTTTTAAGGGCTGTGTTATATTTTGTCCCATTTTAATTTTAATGGGGTTTTCAGATGTTTTATTGTTT